TCTCGCCGTGAATCCGCAGCCCAGTAATTGACTCGGAAAGAAACGTACAAGACAATTAAGTGCTGCTCACTGCGTACAAACACCATACGCGCGCCTGTGGGCTGGGCCCACTGCCCCGTCAAAACACGCCTGACACCGCTCGCCGCGTGTCAGAGTACCCAGGCCGTCATCTTCCGGCCTGGGGAAATTGAGTTGTGAGGGAGGAAGACTAAACCGAATCCTTGAGCGCGAAACCCTTCCGCTTGGAGAATCAGAGAGACACGTTGGGCCTGTTTTACATTTATGGTGCTCCCTGAATAGCGAATGGTTGACACTGAGCAGTTACTTTAGTGATAACAGCTTTGTCGCTGACGCTACTGGAATTTGATTACTTATGGATGAGACAGTAGTTTCTACCATTGGAACAAAACATTAAGGTTTCACGTGATCATCATACGCAGCAAATTTAACGACGACGACGACGACAGTAGTGAATTACATCTCTTGGCTCTGGTTGATTTATATAAACTTTGACCTATGGATTTTCAAATAAAAAATAATAATTTTGAGCTGGGTCCACTCTTTTGACAGAGTTGAACTTTTGGTTGTAACTTGTATTCATATTTTTTGGGTTGCCCTTGTTTCGTAGTCCAGCTTGGTGTCAGAACTTTATATTGTTAACCGTAAGTTCCTCGATGTCTTCCGATTCCCACAGCATATTTCAATGTCTGCGAAACTTCTAAGTTCATCTAGTTATCCATCTTGTTATGCATCCTAAGTGCTAGATAAAACACCCTCGTTGTGCTCTTTCATAATGTGTTAAGGTTTGGTCATCAGAATACCTGAAATGCGTTACACGCGCTGAATAGGCTGTTTAAATCAGTTTGTAAACTATAAGAGCAGCAATGTCAGTTTGCCAAGTATTAGAGGATAAAAAAGAAAGGTCCAAGCGTCAGTCCTCGGTACTATAGTGGTTAGTTTCGCTGGCTGTCACACAGGAGACCGGGTTCGATTCCCCGCCGGGGAGACAGGTTCTTTTTAATACAGAATGCACATAGTAAACCCCCTGTTTTGGCCACTTTGTAATTGCAAAGTGAAACCCTTTTACTGGGCTATTGTTCATCGTCATTTATATTTTAAAGGAGCAGATAGCACAGGATTTTGTGTTTGGTTTGTTGTTTTAGTTTCGCTCTATTAATTCCAGAAATTCTCAAAACGCGGCATATGCTAATTTAACAATCAGATTGCTTCAATTATTAATAGTCAATAGTTAATAATAATCAATTCAATTAATAGGATAGATTTGTGCAGGAATGTGTCTGCCGTTGTCATTCACTTTCAGAGGTTGCAGGCTAGGCAAAATTCGTCGTCAAGAGGGACGTCATAAAATGTCACCGGGGTCTATTTTCGTTGCTATAAATTATTCCACTGCTGTGGAAAGGAAATAGAATAATACCATGCAAAGTATCTCATTTTTGAGTTGGTTTGGCATTAGTTCAAGTATGATGTTTGCTTAAGAAGTGAAAGGTCAGATATACAAGCTCCAGATATTGCGCAGGTCAGATTTTTCAAGTTTCAAAAAAAACCAAAAAAAAAATGTCCGTAATCGACTTTGAAGCTTGCCCGACGGTCTGGATAGCATATCTGGAACATGATTCATTCCTGGACCGACGCCTGACACGGAGATCAAAACGAAAAACTCATTAAAGCCACGAAAAATATCAATATTATTTACAAATTTGGAAGAAATACGACCGTCCCCGTGGTTGTCTGGGCTCTCACTGAAAGATCTATCGTAGGGAGGGTGTCAAAGGTTCTTCAACTTGAATGTGGAGAAAAAATGAGAGAGGCCGAAATAAAGAAATAATGGAGACCTATCCGATTTCATGAAAGATGTAGACCACGCGCTTTGCGAGCGCTGTAGGTATATTTTAAACATGGACTCAACACTTGGTAGATTTATGCTGGGATCCAAAGAGCCGTCATGCGGTCGGGTAGTGGTGGTAACGAAAGGGACTCAGGTATTCTTGGCACGGAGAGATGTTGGGAGCAACTTTGCGCTGTCTGTAAATAAAACAATTTTTAATATACACTAGGTGGGAAGTGGCTCTAGTCCATCCAGGCAGAAGATGTTCATTGCTTTTTCTTGTCTTGATTTGTACCGTTGGTTGACTTTGTATCTACCGTACAGTAAGACTAGAGACAAATACCTTTTGTTCCAACTTCAGCTTTACTTTAAAGTGATCAATCAGAAAGATTAATAGATTGTAAGTGAGCTTTAAGGTCCGGATTTCTGACAACATTCTTTTTAATTACCGCAAAGTAAAGGCGACCATAAATTGTGCGGTCGTTATTAAAACCTGCTTGTTATACATCTTTGTCTGAACCTGGCCACTTGGACCCAGACTTTGACCATGAAGCATCACTGGCATCTCTGTATTTAGAGAGATGTTTCTTCGAAGGGGTGCGATTACAATTTGGGAGGTTGTTTTAAGAGTCGGTTTATTTAGACTTGGCCGGCTCTTATTGGAAATCGGCAATTCATCATAAACAGGGAAGGACTGAGTCAGATAGGAGGGGAACGCGGGTAGAGGGACGGGTAGTCATCAATTTCGTATTCCGACCATTGCAAATGTCTTATTACTCGTAAAAGCTTCGGAGTGAAGTACTGTCTTCCAAACATGAACTAAGGTTTACCGGTAATCGTTTTCCTTCCCATTAAAATCGTCCTTCATTCTAAATTGAGGCTAGCAACTGTGACTGCGACTGGTCAAGTTATCTTAGAGTACGCTATGTATACGGTATCGCTTCTCACAGTTTCTTAAAATTATTTTCGTTCATTTTCAGGATAAATGTCCTTAATAGAGAAGTCATTCTGAAACCATACGTTTCTCTGTCATTTCATGCCCGTTAATTTATACTTCTAATATTTTCGAAAGGTACCTGCCAGTTATAACCACCAATTTTTGTATATTTTGGAAATGACATTTTCCAGTGAATACAGCGCAGCTTGGAGAAACAAAACCCCGACCCACGGTATTTAGAGCTCCAAAGTGTCTCAGTGGTAAATGTTCTCACTTTTCTGCAAAACAAGGGAATTTATTGGAACGTTCCGTACACCTCTTTCTTTTTTTACGATGAATGCCGCCTAGGTAGACAAAAATAGGGACCCAGTGGACTGCCTCCCTGAAGATTATGCTTACAACGAAATCGTGCTTTGGAGAGCTAAAACTGAAATACCAAATCTCCTGAATCTTATCTTTAAATGACAAGGTAGTGCTTTTATCAAAGTGCTTTGGTTGACACCTTTGTTATTCAAACAAGTGTTCTCGTCTTCCATGTGTATATCCCATTCATGAAACTGAATGAAAATTGGCTTGTTCGAAACCACTGAGAAAGTTTGCTCTTTGGAATAAACATGCGGACGTGCGGTTTCGGCAGTGAGACTGTGCTACATTTACCGTATCCCCAGTAGATATCCACCAATGAGCAACTGTCTTACTTGATATATCATCTAGCACTGGCTGGCGCGCTGTGTCACATGATCACACATTCATTGAGAACATGGCCTCGGTGAATAGGTGCATACACAGATCACTGATTATCGTTTTTCTTGAATATCAATGGCTACCTTCATGCCGTGCCTCGGTTAATTTGAGTTTTGGGTTCTGCAAACGTGTGTTTATTTGAGCTTGAGAAGGCTATAGGAACTGGACAAAATCAAAACACATTGTGGTGGTCATGAATCACCGACGGTTGCCGCGGCATTTCGGTCTTTGGCCTCCGCGCTGACCTCACAAGTCCGGTCACTCGACTTTTATTTTATTTTCGGTTCTGTTTTTCAGAGCAGTGTCCGATTCATGGAAAATTTATGGATTATTTTCGAGGATTTCAATGGCATGCCGCCAACCGAACTCAATCTGCTCTTGTCGTTTGGTCGTTGTGAGGGTTAGACTGTAGGACACGAGTGGTCGGGGCCTGGCCGTAGGTTGGTAGCAGACAGGCTGAGGAGGTCCGGTGAGCCGTTAGTGGGTATACACATCAAGGCCTTGACCTGGCGGAGGTCACACGGGGGATGGGGGAGCCCGCTTGTTGTTGATTTTGTAGATCTGTATTTGCCTCTCATCGGGAAACGAGGGGAGAGAGAGAGAGCACTCGAAGCTGGGGTGGGTTACGTCTCGGGGAGGCCGGCGCGATCAACGGCGACACTTGGCAGGTGATTTGTGGGACTTGACCGCTTGATTCACGGACCTACGAGGGACCAGATGCCTAAAAATAATGCCGACGAGAGTTATTTCTGGGCTGTCCCTGTATCATTTTTTCTGAGCAACCAAAATGAAAAGTGGCAGTCTTTCACATTGATTAAAAAACTTTTTAAGAAGTTTGAAACAAAAGACCCGTATCCTTTCTGATCTACCTAGATGCTGTTTCAAATTTTACGACGATCTATGACGAAAAAAAATAATAAACTGTACATGTACATGTCGTCCCTGTGGTAACAACACTGTTCTCCGTGTCAGTACAGTGATTTATGCACAAAGAATGTCTCACATCAGATACATTTTGTGACTCTTTACAACTCAAAAGAGTATATGCTATTTTTCTATTCTAATGGAGGAAAAGGACCATAACTTTGTAAACAGGTATCTCTCTGAGGGGTCTTTGTCTGAAACTAAATTGAACGGGTATTAAAATCCTTCTTGACTGACCGTCGAGAAGCTTTGTGGAAAAAAAAGAAAAAAGTTCCTCTTAAAAAGACATTTTATTATAGTTGAAATGTATGAACATCGGTGAGAGCTGTTCTTATTGTTTCACAAAACGGGGCGTGCACTGTGGTGTATGCTTATTCCCAAACAATTTGCCAATTTCAAAAACAAAATAAACGCTAAAATGACATCATTGGAAGCTAGGATTTTTTGGTTAGCTCAACAATAAAGGACCGATTGGATGTGTCCATTGAGAATGTGCTTTTTTCCCTCTTACAAAGTTGTAATTATATTTCCTCTGTCTCGCTGTAACAGATGACGACACGACGAAAACCGACAGCACACCGAACTGGCTGTCGGCGACTTCGGGCCGCAAGAAGCGCTGCCCCTACACCAAGTATCAGACCCTGGAACTGGAGAAGGAGTTCCTCTTCAACATGTACCTGACCCGGGACCGCCGGGTGGACATTGCCAGGCTGCTGAATCTGACCGAGAGGCAGGTCAAGATCTGGTTCCAGAACCGACGCATGAAAATGAAGAAGATGCACCGCGCCCAGGTCTTGAACTGCTGATAGGTGGCGCCCTACACAACCCCCTGAGTAACTTTGGATGGACACACACAAAAACTGATGGCATCGTCAGATGCTAGACGGGGGAGAACAGCCTGGGGTGTGCGTGCGAGGGGAGAACAGCAGCGGTTTACGAGGGCGTCACGTACGTGGAGTTATCTTTGGGAGATTTTACGTTGGCCTACGTGAGGCTGTCTTTGGTCACGGAGTCACAGACACAGTGCTAGCTGTTTTGGGGAATGACCCGTCAATCCCTTGCAAATTATGGTATTATTGTCAGTGTGACTTTGCCTGCTTTGGCTGAGCCATGGAGCGTGACTGAAAGGCTTTGCACAGCATACTCACCGGGGTATAAGTTTGTCGACAACATGCACGCATAATCGTCTTAATGTGTCGACCTGACGCCGTTGGGGCCGTGGCGGCGGCACTGAACCCCGAATTCCACTTCGTTGAGGCGCTGTCCACCTCCTGCGATCGCGATGGAATGCACATTATATTCGTATGGGTGAGTCTAGGCGCACCGCATGGTATGCAAGACAGACCGAGGGGATGCTGACACTATCCGAATCCCGTTGCATCCATCCCGAGCAGTGCTGGCCGACGGATAAATGCCATGGAACAGACAACGGCAGATGCCTCCCCAATAGCGTTCGCAGTATTTATCCACACCAAAGCACCCGTATTGGTCCTGTCATTTTATGTAAATAAACAAGTAAGAATAAGTAACCTGTTGCTATAAATGAAGAGTATATAGATGTCGTGACTCATATTTTGTATTCTTAAAATTACAGTATGTATAAAATAGAATACCATTTAGGACAAAGACTCCGAGATACAAATGAATTCATCTGCCGAGAAATTATCGTGCTTCCCAGCACAAATAAACTTGTTTTAATAACAAATTCAGGATAGTACACCCGTTACAATAAAGAAGAAAGTCGTGTTAAGTAGGAGATGGATGTAACTTCAAAGCGTGAAAATTCCACATTCATCAGTAAAGTATAATTTCAAAGTGTTTTTACCAAATAATTAAAAGATCATATTTTGCTGCTTATTTATACACAAGTCATTGTGACAAATACCATTGTTTGGGCCGAAATCCTTCCTCAGTGTGACAAGGAAAAACACACCTGTCGCTTCTACTACATGTACATGTAGTGTTTACGTTCTTAATACATGTAGATTGCACTCAATGTTACGAGTTGAAATGTACATAAAAACTTTTGGTCAACTTTAACACCACTTGAAAATGAATTCAGGTTACTGTAGCGATGATGATGATGTCAATTGCCGTCAGGCTGGTTACATTTATTATATTTCTTCATTGGTTTTGTTTAAACAGGCAGTCAAATTTGAATTCTCACGAGGGCGCTGTGTAAACGCGACTGAGTTGTCTAGAATTTTGACTTCTTGTGTTGTTTGTAACGGTTTGAAGGTTCTGATCGGTGGCTCGAGAAGAGCTGCGATGAATCCTGGATATTTACTTGACTCATTCGCTTTTGTTGATCTTGTTTTATTCGGCAAAAAATTCATCGTAGCTTGTTTCTATACAGCCCGATGTGGTCATGCCTACCGCCCTGCCCAATGGCACTAGAAGCTGCTTTGGGTATGGAGGACTAAAAATAATGTGGGTACCTTTTATCTCCATGTCCAGTGTACTTCCCATTCTAAACACAACCACAAAACACGACCTATCGCGCATACAGAAATTGTCAGTTGTGAATTAGTCACAAGGAACGTAGAATGCATCTCCTTTTGGTTGGTATCCCGCCTTGACTTGGACGGTTTGTACCAGGTAGCTCTATGGAATTCGCCCGTCCCCAGCGCCCTTACGAAGGGCCACCAATGCAGGATGGATGACGTAGTTTTTCGCGAGCACTCATTGGATGAAGCATCGAGGAAGGACAATTTTAAACATTTTTTTTCAGGCAGAGGTGACCGACTCGGATTTGGCTGAAATTTTTCCTGCAAAGGGTACTGGAGGTGTCTATGAAATCCTGAAAGTTTCAACTTCAGAGACATCCTCCTTGAAAAGTTAGGCTCATTGATGATTCGTATGATCATTAACAAGTATCAACACTTCCGCCTGCGCACTGCATAAATGTACGGACTAGGACAGCAAATTAAGCACAGTTTTCCGCAAGTCAGTAACTGTGACATATTTCCACCAAAGGGCGGTAGGAACGAGTTAAATCCCTTGGGTTGGGGTGGTCGGTATGAGCGGAGGGACTTGACTACCTCAGCCGTGTGGGGAGAGGGCGCCATACTTGCCACATATCTTTGATTTCAGCCATCGCTTCGGGGCTCCGTCATCTCAGTGGGAATTCACCACCTGCCTCTGGCAATCATGCGCCGAGTACACAAGCTAATTCCGCAATGGCCTAAATCCGAATGTGAAATATCGAGTACAAACTGTGGCTGACACATTTACGACTTGGGGAAACTATGTAAATTACCCCGTGGCTCGGTCCCCGGGATCAAGTCGCGGCGTCCGGCGCACCCGCCGCTGGCCGTGGGAGTTATCATAACCACACGGCCAACTCAGCTGATTCCGTGTATTAATAAAATGTTTCTTATGCATGTGGGACAAATGAATGCACCAAATCAACATCTGTTGTAGATACATAAGACCAGGGTATCAAGACTTTGTTAGTCGATGAGACAAATGAAGGAGATGGCTGCGAAGGTTTTAGCGCCAGCTTCAGATTTGGGAACCCAAATGGCTGTTCATTCGTAAAGCAGGCTGCTTTTGTGTGCTAGTTGTCCAATTTACACTGAGGCACTATCTGTCATTTCGGTTCCAAAAAATGAGACACTCATGTTGCAACTCTCTCTAAAAACCGCTTTGAGTTTTTAGAATAGTATGGCGCCACCTTGTGGTAAAGTCTCTTAAGATGTAGGCGCCATACACAAGTTTCGCATGTCATCCGAAAGGCAACTTTCAAAGAGAAAAAAGTGGAAATTGAAGCTTTCGAAAAGGAAAAGACCACAAAACGAAGCTGTTACGTAGAATAGCGCAAAACACACTTCCTACGACACGCTAGGGAATCGCTCTCCCTTCAGCACCTGATGTGGCCCTAGTTAAGCCCTGTTGATGAAAACGAACTTGACAAGCAATATACTACGACTAGGCTACGATATTTCGGAATGCTGTCTGGTTTCTGTCAGGGCCGTCTTTGTGGCAAACATTGGCTTTTTTACCTGTGGTCCTGCGATCTTTTCTTAACCCTCTGCTCCAGCTCTCTCGACGAACCGAAGCGGGGTTTTGATTATGGCCAGTAATTCACATTATACATGCATAAAATTATGTGGCTAGCTCCCCGAATCACACTACACAAAATATTTGTGAATTTCACGTTGTAATTTATGGAGCTTACCGTCCATCCATTAGCGGCATTTATCAAGGTTTTGTGCTTGGTTACATGCCATTGGTGGAAACACTGAGACCTTTTGTCTGAGATGGAAGAGAGACGAGTGGAAGGAAATTAAATGTGACGTGCCCAATAACGCCAGATTGCAATTCATTAAAGTGGGGTAAATGTCATTTCCTCTGGATTGGGCGAGGGCTACCTTCTTCCAGACTTCTCGGTAGAATAGAGGAAATTCAGCGTCTTAAAGTTTGAAGTATTCGATTTCCTCCTACGCCTTCTCATTCTCGGTCACGAAAACGAAATCCACTGATGCCACCTAAATAGAATATTCAGCCTACTTTGGAACTGACTGTATACATGTGTACGTGTACGTGTAAAAACTAAGCTTTATGCGCAGTTCTGGGACAGTCCTCTGCCATCTCACTGTTTAGTTCCTAAATACACTGGACAAAACTCTTGACGGCGACCATTAAATCGAAAATCACAACCATTCACATTGGTGTGTTACGTACAATCTTTATCGTTTCTTTACATCTATAAAAATTGTCACAACTGATATGTGTGTTTCTATTTTGAGCTTCGTTTGACACAATTTTTTCTTCAAAGATACCTCCGTGTCCAAAGTGAACATGTGACAATAATTATTTTGGGACCATTCTTTCATTGAGAATCTTGTTTTGGGTAATATTTGAAACCTGACTCGGCTCATTCATTGAGGCAATGCACTGAAACAAAGCTATGTATCAAAGCTATGTATCGTAACAAACAACAGGGAACTGGTGTGGTCCTTAGGGGCGGTGTTCAGGGTCAACACATGTATAAACACAACACATGTATGTAGCAATCGTCTGGCCTACAGATGGTGGAATTCTTTGTATGTAGTGTGGAAAGAGTCAGAAAAAAATGGTAACTAACATGATGAACAAAGTGGAGTTAATGGTATAAACAGTGGCATTACTACATCAGGGCACGTGCACCTCCAAGTTGAGGTCCTTGCGCCCCGCCCCCCCCGTTAACCCACTCCCATCCGTCTATACAAACCATAGTTCATCAGCTTTCGGTGCACCCTTGAAAGAAAAATGGGTTCACTCGGGTACTCCTGAAAATCCACCACTCCACTGACAACATGGAAGTCTAAAGTCTCTTTAATGTAAACGACACATCTGCGAAAAAGGTGATTGTAACTTCGAAATCCATATCGCCCCAAACTTCAAGTTGTTGGCAAAAGTGGTTCATGGAAAGACGAAACTCAGACGTTTAATTGTAGTTAACATTTTTGTGTATGAAATTTATTTTATTAGATTTAGTTACTTTCGTTTGATTTGTTCTTACGTTTTTTGCTTTCAAATGCAGATGTAGACTGTAAATACATGTATATTTATAAGCAAAATATTGGATGTCTTTGTAAGTGTATATGGGTTAATGTCAATAAACATGTGGAAACGGTTTGTGAATAGGATTCAATAGAAACAGAAATTAATACCTGGGATCTATTGTTTTTGTTTTATTCAGGATGTTAGGTTTCTTTGAGTGAACACGATCTTTGTACTTTTTATTTTATGGGTGACTTTAAAAGGAACACCTCATCCCCAGCAGAATTAAATTAAAAACCCACACAAACATTTTCTCAGTTCATCATGTTGATTCACTATCGTCCACCTTGAATAAAGTAATATGTTCCTACACCCTGGTCGTTTGGCGAAAAAAAAGTCGCAAGCCTGACGTGATAATCTGAGTGACTGGAGGTCTCTGGTTACCCCTTGAGGGCAGTGTTTTCGTACGTTAACTTTGTGCCTCTGTTAGTGCGCAAACACTGGGATTATTGGAGAGAACTCCTTTGAATAATGTCATGTGTAATACGGACGCCCTTAATGTACAAATGCATATGAACGTATTAAAACGGCAACCCACAATGCCTTTTAGTGTCTTAAGTTCGTTCACAAATATCTTTGAAAGGGACTGGCCCATCTCGAGTGCGGGTGACGACTGAAATACATGTAGTGTAGCCTTGTACTGTCTGCCTTGTGGTGTCAAAAGAGGGCGCGCTTTCTCCAGTACAAAACATTCGAAATGTTCAATGTGTTGCGAGACCATTCGCAAGTTGTTCTTTTCCTGATTCCTCAGGAAAAAAAACAAGCTCTGTTCCGGTTACGCTTCCACTACTTCGAATATCAGTTGCTTCACATGAGTAGGCCTAGTTGCGTAGCCTTTCCTTCCAGTCTGTGCTCCGTCTCCTCGATCATCAGTGCAGAAGGAATAATTAGTCGTACCGATCTTGGGTGAGTGCGCCCTCTTTAGTTTATCTCAGCCCAGCAACCTTTACAATATAACGAGACAGTACACATAGCAACCGTCATTCAATGTAAAACTATGACGGCCGTGGATTCCGGCTTTTAGAGTTCAGAAACACAACTATAAGAAGACCCCCCCCCCAAAGTCGTATGTCATTGTGAAACAATCTTTGGAGTCATTGTACATGTGTTTGGAAAATGTTGGCGGTATGCGAAGTCATGGAGGGGAAAAAGTTTACGGCACCAGTCTATTTTGCCATGGTCACGCTAACGGGTCACCGACTCCTAACTATTCGACCAGCGGTAAAGCTCCGAGGCGCCCGTGTTCTGGCTGCTTTCTACGACGTTAACAGAGGCCACCGAGTGCAGTTTGGTTTAAGTTTTATTTTGAGGTCCCCCCCTCGCCCGTCCTCGGTCCCGGTACTGATTTATAGACTTGTTGGCGATGGCTGGAAAGAAATCGGATCGGTCACATACCTCCTGCACCTGTCTCAATATGTAGAAAGCCCTGGGTCGCCATAATAATGTCAGTCGTGTGGTTGAGATGTTCCAGAGCGAGGGGGGGCTGGGATGCATGTGAGGCCGTAGCGCCGACATCTCAGGCAATCAGTTGCTGCTTCACGCTGCATCCGGCCGAGAAGAAAATTACACGTGTTTGTTGTGACAGTGCTAAGAGCCTTGCATGATGATGAATAAAGGGAACCAACGAATGAGGTGAAATACCTGGAACAAGCTTTTGTAGTCGGGTGCCTCTCCATTACCGTCCATTATGCTAAATATCAAGTAGGGTGCTGAGGTTCCCTGAACTGGTGACATTCCTGCTTGGACAGTAGTACTTCTATATCATACTCAGGAGTTATGATCTATACATGCAGTCAAGCCAAGATGATGGAAAAACAACTCAGGGATTTGCACTTTTTCTCTGAGAAAAACTAGAATAGGACAGATTTGAGTTAGAGAAGGGACAGTTACTATAATGGTATAGGAACGACACCCCCAATTCAAGATTAAGTTCGTTCTTTGAAATATTGACCACCGTAGATTTTTTAGCCTTAATCTTTCCTTACTCCATCACGCTTGGGCAACGACATTTCCACTAGGTAATTTGTAGACCGGATTCGTACGCGGTTTACTCAGGGGAGCCTAACTGAGGCCCGCAGGGCTTGGTAAAAACAAAGCGCACATCGAAACCCATGCAAAACTGCATACGCCACGTTGATTCAGGAGCGAAGGTGAATGTTGCATTATTGCGATGAATAATGCATGCAGACATGATTGCATTGAAGCCAGACGGCGGCAACGGCGGGAGGGGTGAATTATGTAATGTTTGTGGGCTTCGGGCTGATGTTGCCGCTAGCAGATGGCACTGTTTAAAAAATCGGAGACACAAATTTCGAGGAGAGCTGCCCGAGAGCCCTCAGCAGTAATTACAAAACTGGCCCCGAAGGTGAGACGTTGTTAATGAAAGGTTTGGAATATGAGCCATTGTTTGAAGCCGAACATCTATCAAGCATCGTCTGTTGGTTGGAAAGCGTGAGTTAACCAGCTACACGTGTTATACCACTCAAACGAAGGAAAAATGGTTCCGTTGACAGTAAAAGCTTACATATTTACAACATAATGTTCCTCCTGACATTTTTACACCGTTGTGTGGTGATACATGTCGTTGGTCACCACGAGCTTGCGTTCATTTCTCAATTGAGAAATATCCTTCCCTCTACTAACATCAAAGCAATACACTTCTGATGGATTGCTAAAGTTATCGAGGTCGCCCTAATCGGAAATTTATCAGCTGATTCTATTTGCTTAACTCATCCGCGCAATTTCTGGAGAGTGTCGTTGACCTGTACGGTCAATGGAGCGGTGGGGGTGGGGGGGTCCGATCCCTTTGAAGGGAGCCGCCAAGCAAGTCAACGGTGTCTGCTAGGGTGTCAGATAGGTCATGTTTACCGATCAACGCAATTTGGGGCTTGGTGTACTGGAGTCTGCTCGATTTGCAAAATTTCACATGCCCAAAAAAGGGTAATTCTCCAATCCAACGAATTGTGCCACCAAGAAGTTGATGTTTATCACAAGGATGCATTGGATCCGATGGAGGGAGTACTTTTAGTATTATTAGGGGTATCGCAGGTTACCAAGGCAGTGCACAAGAGAATGGTCATGTCTCCCAAGAGGCGCTGCATCTTTTTTTGTTGATGTACAGGAATTTCAGATAAAAAGCAGCGAAGCCGCAAGTTGCAGGATTTATGGGCCGAGGGGGGAGCGCAGCCAAGACCCACGGGAAGCCAAGTGGCCAGGCTGTTTGTTTGAAGAGAAGTCCATTGTTTCACACCCCCCTTCCCCTCAGTGTCTTTGCTGTGTCTGGCGTACAGAGGTCTGCATGTCTGCCTCTGTCTCTTCACCTCTCACCAAACGACTGGCCCGGTCCGTCACCGTCGGCTCCAGCTTTCTTCCTGGGTGCCGCGGCGAGTCGGCCGGGTCGAAGCAGACTCTGCGCCCCCGCTCCACATAAATCCTGACCGCGGCTGACAGTTCGCCCGTCAGGAGCCGGTCCAGGGAAAATTTACTGGTAGCGGACTCAAAGGCGAGGCCGCGCGCTGGTGCCGCGCGATCGGTCCCGGCCAAATCGGTGCTGACAGGCCTTCCATTAGCGCGCCCGGCATGATTTACATGCGTGCATAAATTTAGTAGCGGTCTAATGTAAATTCTCCTTAAACGTTACTGGGACTGATTTGTTATTTACTCTATACACGGGGAGAAATGTGAGGCATGGAGAGTTGAACAAGTGCGCCAAACACTCGAGCACGAGTTATAAGTTAACCTGAATAGAAACGCTCTTTTTTGGGACGTTTCTGAAAAGGCACAAACAAACCTTTGTTTTTCAGAGAAAAACAAGGTTAAGTTATGATTCTTGGTAGCTTTTTTGGACTAATCCGGTGTCTATCAAATCTAAGCCATGACATTCGCTTACATCCCTTATTTTCGAATGTGAAAGGTTTTAAATTTTCATATTCCTTGCCCCATGGTTTCTTTTGTTATAATCAAACCGGTCAAACACATCCCTGAATTTTCAGTCAGCAATACGTCTACGTATGTGATGAAGAGGCAATGTTTGCATCCATACGTACGATTTGACCAAGCTGGTTTGATTTTATCCCTTTCCAGGCATGTGCACGCACCTGATTTGTCCCACCAAGTTCCAAACTAAGTGACATTGCATTTGGAATTTATAGTTCTGAATTACTTCAGGTCAATCTACATGGAAAAATTAGGAAGTGTTCATGATGACTGCCGGTTCTTATTAAAACAACAAATATGGTTTTAAACAGGGGGAAAACAGTCTATTTGTGACCTCATCTGTGTTGGAGCGATAGCGCCATCTATGTTTATTTTGCAATCGTACGGCTGTTTGGACCGACTCGCTGAGTTTGCGGGAATGTTGCAGCAGACGGTTCTGAAGAAAACCGCTCTCAAGTTCATTTCCAAGTTTACAACCAACTCACGACTACAATACTATCGTGAACGCGTACATGTACCTTAGATATTGTGACAAGCAAGACCGGCAGTGAGCCATCGCTCTTGTGCGCGAAGAGCGCCCTCTTCTGATAGGAGACAGTCGAGCGTTTTAAACAGATGCAATTGTCAAAGCGTGAGTACAGTGCACAGATACTTCGCATTTTGCACCCCAAAGGAAACCATTTAAGCGACAGCACAAATTTCTTAGAATTTCTAGCAAGGTCACACTCGTTGGTAAAGCTCTGTCGTACTTTTTTTCTCGTGTATTGTTGTCTTAACTTCACTTTCAAGCGACAATTGTGCCCAGGTGAGACTTCAGATTTTCAGTGTTTTGGATGTCATTTTGATGGTGCCCATGACGCAGTAGGTTGCGGCGGTGTTCGGTGGTGATTCAGGTGAAGGTGGCGTTGACCGTGGTGAAGGAAGGGGGGGGGGATCCGGTGGTGTCGAGGCTTTGGCGATGGTGGTTAAGTATGGTGCACGGTCACGGTGGTGACTACGGCCGCGGTGGTTATGGCGGCGGTAAAGGTCATCGTGTTTCTCCTCAGACTTAGTCTTTCCTTTGTAGTACTTCAAATCCAGCATTAAATTTGAAATGTATTACATTTTCTTTTGATTCCTATTTCGAACCAGAAAAGCGTTTAGCATCATGTTATTACTATGTGAAGGAAATTAAATAAACAAAGCAGCTTAATCGGTTACGTTTGTTATGCTGTACAGTTTGGCTTCATTTCCAAAAGATTTCTATAACAGATCTAACCGCAAATAGTATTTTGTTTTATTGAAAAGCAACATCAATGAAATTCCACAAACTTTATTTATAGTCTCAGTGTTCAAAATCATGTGTAGGCCTATTTATGGAGACTACCCAGAAGGTGGTTCCCAAATTCTCTTTTGTCCCAAGGCGTCTTTATTATTCATTTTAGAAAGAGTGCAGGTTGAGGTTAAGTGCGGTAGTATCCATTGCCAATTCATGCATTAATTTTAAGGCAATATATCTGTTATTTTAGGAACACCACCCAGCGTATACATAGTCATTGCAATCAACCTCGCAGTCACGTGACACGATAATGAATTAGTTACAGCGAGATGGCGGTGTATGTGGTGTGGGTTGTACAGTAACGGCTGCACACCAGTCCACATAGTGGCGATTTGTCAGCAGTTAAGTGGGGCCACATCGCTTACCAATAGCTGAACGGCAACTGGGACTCCATAAATCCATCGCATAAACATCCCAACTGGACAATTACATCTTGAGGTAAGTTTCCTCGTTTAGGCCTATGTAAAACAAGTAGCAATAAGGACATAAAAACGAAGCACAGAAACCCTCAAATTAAGAACGGCTCAGGGATGATGCTAGTTAGGCCTGTAGAAGGTTTTTTTTATTAGATAAGTACACAAAATACTCTGTGAAATGGTTAACATTGTAAGATACGAGTTGAATGAATCTTCACGGTCATATCGGTCAAGCGGAAAGTATTGTGGGTGCTAGTTATCGAACAACCTCCAAATCGCAAAACAATTAGCCATAATCTGATGTTTACGTTGATCACAAAATATTTAGATTTCGAGTTTACTTAGTGTGTAATTATGGGTGCCGCCTAGACTGGGTTTTACGATATCGGCTTCGAAATAAGCTCTGTCATTGTCGTCATTGCACAAGAGCCCGAAGTAGAATTTCGTCCATTGCCCCGCATCGGAACACACGCCGTGGATCGACGCGGATGACCGGGGACAACGGACCGTGTGCACGGTAAGCTAATCTACGACTCGACTAGCGGAAATACACCTCCCCCAATAAAACTATAAAGGTGCACCATCAGAAACCTTCAAACAGATAATCTTAATCTTTAAAAGTTTAATTGACTTGAATTCACATTTCATGGCTTTCGGACCTTTAGAGTAGATTAACTGAAAGGGGGACGTTTTAAAACAATTTTAAATCACCTTGGGCAAACACAAAGTCAACCTTAGTTACAAAATTGCTCGCATTTATGCAAGAACATCAGCAAACTAAAAACCGATGATGGCTACATGAATTAGGTTTTCCTTTTTACGATATTTAATTTTATGATGGTTTTCTAAATTTGCAGCTTTTTTTTCACCGCCAATTCCCATGGGATTATCTGCTATTCGACAACCAAATGTACAGTGTTCTTGAAGCTGCACAGAAGTGTAATGTGTCATCTGGTACTGACACATAGATAGATTTCTGATAGAATCATGAACAGGCAATTACTTGTAATTAGAGACTCTCACAGTCAATCAAATAAATAAGCTGTTTGGTCAATTTGAAGGAAAATTAAGGCCATACCCATCTCGGTATACACGTAACACGCGTAATCGCATGTTTGCCGATATAACAATACCCTGCCGACCAGTAACAAGTTGCACCACAAACGCATAAATTGTCTGGCGATGCTCACAGCGTCAACTTTTACGGCCGTTTGCGTCGTATAAACGTCACTTTGAATGGTTTGTCCGAGATTTAGGGAAAACTGCCTGATTGGTGTCGAATTTAGGGGAATAGTCCGTAATTCACGGTACATAACGAGGCACACACATTAGAATGGTTTCTAGCTCTTATCTTTTCTGTCACCGCGCCAGTTGCGCAGATGGGTGAAAGAGACAATGCAGCGGTCATTTTGTTTCAATTTCTGTTAAGATTTGTTTCACAAATACCGGTTTAGCGTAAATGACTTAGTTATGTGCTAACGCTGCTCGGTGGAAATTCCGTGTAGAATCTCCGAGTAATAAGAACGGTTGCTGGACGTAGAATAATTCTATTCACCAACAGGCTCATCCCATCTGTTTAGGTGCAGCAGCTTTACATTGACGTTGAGGTCATTCGACAGAGCTGAGTTTTTGCTGATAACCTGTATGGTATTTCTGGAAGAAATTGAATATTTGTTTTGAGAAAACACACTTTCACTCACAATCATAACTTGGAGGAAGTTTGCACAAAACGATAACACTTTTGGTGGAGTGTTTTTGTAGGTATTTTTTGAAAAGACCAACAACTAATTTTTTTTTCAAGCTAATGTCAAAGTAATGAATGACCATATGGTTGAAGATCTTTAAAATGAAAACAGAGGAGCGGACATTGCTTTGAATTGTTTTCACACCTGTTGCTATACACGCTTTCAAATATGCGATTAGTGGCTGGTTTATTATAGTGGTTCATAGTTGATGCACATATCTAAGGGAACAGTCTTCCTAACCATGCATCAGATTTTGCCCAAATTAGCCAACGGTTAAGTTAACTTCCTTTTACAGCTTTCCTCCAGAATGATAACCCTGTTTGTTAACCCTTTAGTGGAAATACACAGCGCTGCCAAAGGTTTGTTCCAATTAAAGTTTCTTTTTCTATAAAATGACACCACAATGTTGGATTAAGACAGGTACGTATTAAGACAGGCTCGTAAAACTAATCGTAGGCTAATCTTACAGATCTTACAAAATCCTAAATTTTAAGCAGTTCGTGGGCAATAAAAAAGGCCTTATTGTGTTCAATGCAATTCAAACCCCCCCCCCAAATAAAATGAAAATATAAAAATATCAAGAGAAATGTCTAAATTTAGCCATTAATACAACGTACGTACCTTCCACCTGTTTTTCCACAATTGTTAGTTGTTTTGGGATTACCCTCCCAAAAAAAATACATAAAAGTAGTCTTACTTTGTCTGCAAAAACCCGAGATAATATAATTTACCTTAGAAATGATTAGATAATTAGTCGAGCAATAATCATTCCGACCACGCGCGTGCTTGGCCGGTTTATGATCGTCATAATGTAGGATAAACCATGATCATAGCACACTGTATATCACACGGTGTCGAGTATCCCTTCCCTGTAAGTCTTTAGGCACAAGCACACGGGATTATGTTGCCACAAAATTAATGAGACTAAAGCAGGAAGTATAGGCCGAAACGGGATGATTCTTGAGAAAAAAAATTAATTGGCTGTCAATTTTGACGGAACCTTGTACCCTGATGAAACGCACCGAGCAAGGCCAAACACATAAATATCCATTTGTGCGGTGGGTGGCCGGGACATGATTCCAGTTCTTGTCGGCCGTATATACGTACAGCACGCGAGTGCCAGTGGGTTGGATTTCACTCCTGAAGATGCAGATAATTTTTAATGGATTGTTGCGAAAAAGAGGACTGCTAAAAAAAAAAAAAAGAATAAGAGGCCTGCCTGTTGCCGGCTCTCCATTTCACGTAAAAAGTATCTTGGCATGAATCAAGGGGGGATCGATCTATCAGCTGCTGGGACGGCCCGGCCGTTATTGCATTAACACGGGGTAATCAGTTGGGCTGGGGATGGGTACAGTAGGGAGGTTAAAGTAGGCAAAAGATTTAGGTAAATCAAGCCGGGGATAATGTGAAGTATGACAGAGGGACAGCGGAAAGCACAGCATGATAAAGTGTCAGGTAACATGTTGCCTTGTTATTGACGATGAAGTTTCAAACATTGCCCGCCTCCAATCTGACAGCTGGATATGGGAATCCACCATGCCTGGTCGCCACAATGTCATTAACTGCCATTGTGGGACATTCCTTGTTCCGTCTGAACATCAAAGCCCTATGGTGTATTATGCTAAAGAAAATCGCTATCTCCTTTGAGCAAGGCGGCACTATTGTTGGGTCATATGTGAACCTTGCCTGAGCTGTGTTTTTCATCTTTCTCTGCGTGGTCCAAATCTTCAGACTATCTCCAGACTCTATGGAGGAAGGAGCCACCTGACAATCTATGCCGGTTCGTCAGGTAAAAGGTGTCCGGGCCAGGACAGATTTCCACTGATCATACTCCTGACGCTCTCTCTACACATTGTCACCTCTCGTGCTGCCGTGCCTGTCCTTGTGGGCGCAAGGCTAGCCTAAGAGGACGCGCAGTGGCAGAAAGTAACAACACGTGACGTAACTACGAATGTTTGGCGCCCTCAGAAGTTTTAATCCTGTTAAAGTTTTAAAAATGCCACTGTGCAGCGGCATCTTCTTAGCTTTTTAAAGAATTTAACCGAACCAGGACAAATAGTATATTTTGAATAAAACTCTGACCAAGCAAATGGCTGTTTACTGGCACACTAGAACACAGTCCAGGAGACCGTCTCCTGAAACGGGATAAAAGAAAGCATTGATTCTAAAATCCAGATATGTTCACTGTATTGTCAAAAAAATAAACTCCGCTGAAACATGGCGATAATACGGTATCCAGTAGACGTTTGTTGCAATACTTGAAGAAAGACTTGCCTTCAAGCTCACAAATTATGTTCGAGTCATTTGATTTAAAAAGTAATGAAGTGGGTTTCCACGTTGCGTACCTGATTGAATCGCTAGATATACCCAGCAAGAAATGAGGGGTAANCCCCCCCCCCCCCCCAAGATGACTGAAAGGAATTCCCCAGATTCCTGCGAGACAGTGACCAACACAAAGCAGGGGGGGGTTTCCTCTCCGTCTCATACCTTGCTAGCTATGTCGCTAGAAAGGGATCCATGCCATTGACAGGTTTTAACTTCTTGGAGCTGTTTTTGTAACCCTCTTTGGTTCCCATAATGAGACAAAGCACCACCCCTCTGTACAAGAACGGGGAACAGAACTATATACAAACTGGAGTGCAACTGAAGTCCTCTACAGAGTGAAAAATGTAAACTTACTCGTCCGTCACAGATCTTAGTGTCTTCCCTTTGTAAGGCATAATAAACAGTGTCATTATATAGAAATAGGAAAATGTTCCGTCTTCACAGACTCACGCAGGATGAAATCTTTCGATTTGGGACCCGCAAACTAGTAGGTCACACCTGAGGAAATTGTTTTGGATGAAGTCTCGAGGAAACCCTTCGCACAGACCGAAATGGGCTGCAAATGGATGTTGCGTGGGGCGAGTTGACAGAAATTTCTGCTGTGTGGCTTACTTTGGTTGTGGGAACCTGATGCGCGAGGTTGGGCTTTTGGAATGTGAGAACGCTTGAGTTTTTATGTCTACAGTTTGATTTTTTTCGGACAAAGGGCTGAGCCGCGTCATCCAAAGTACCGGTACTGGCAGAATGTAGGTCAATACGACACACGGCAATAATTTATCTGTCAACTGTGGAAACCCAACGAGGCTAGCTCACGAAAAAGGAGCCATTTTGTCATGGTCGAGGTGTGACATCGTGAAGGGGCGGGCGAAAAACCCAGCGTAACGTTACCCAAAGGTTCATTTTCTGGGACGTCAACGGCCCTGATTTATTCTGAATTTGTTTTGCCCAGGGA